CCTCAGCAGTAAAATAATTTAAACACAACACAATAATATACAGTATCCAGACACTCTGTATAGTTTCCATTTTTATGTGGCTTTTTTTCTTTCTCTGTTTCTTTTGTTTTAATTTTTATTTTTGGTTTTCTGAACATGGTTTCTCTATATATCTTTGACTGTCCTGTATCTCTCTGTGAAGATTAGGCTGGCCTTGAACTCACAGAGATCTGCCTGCCTCTAACTCCCAAGTGCTGGAATTAAAGGTGTGTGCCAACCCCAGGTACTCCATTTCTTTTAAGGACTTTCTCTATCCTTTCTCCTTTCTCTCCCATGCCTACATATATTTTTAAACACACTGTAAATAATTTAGAGATTTTTTAAAATGAATCTGTGTTTACTGTATATCTGTATATATCTTTTGCTGATCACATGAGCTTTTAATCTGCTAAGTGATATGGCTGGAATTAAGACTGCGGATTTGGCAACTAACTCCACACCATTCCTTAGTGTTTTGAGAGTCTAGCTTTATGGTAGAGCTTTATAGCAGGAACCAGATTTATTATTATAACTCCGTGGCATTTCTAGGTCCATGTCACCACCAAGAAACCTGATTCTGGCTGCTCACAAACATCATTCAAATGTTTGGTGGTCTAGCCTCTTAAAAGAGTTTCAAGACATTTGTCACTAATGTTGAGTCAAGAAGTCCCTCTTAAAGGAGTCATACCTTTGCTCACCTCCAGCAGAATTCATCTAAGACAATGCTGCCACCAAGAAGCCATGCCTGACTGGGTTCTTCTCTGTCTAGAATTTTTTTTCTCTTTTTAAAGTTTTCATGAGTTTGATATGGAAACTACTGCTGAATGTTTTGGTGCCATTTGTAGACAGAAGTTTCTGCCTTGCTTGGTCCCACAGTCGTTCAGTCACAAAGAAACACACAGGCTGATATTAATTATAAACTGTTTCACCGATTAGCTCAGGCTTATTATTACCAAGCTTTTACAACTTAAATTAACTTATAATTCTTATCTATGTTTAGTTGTTTATCTTGGTACCTTTTATCAGTCAGGCATTCTCATCTAGAGTCCTCTGCATCTGGCTGGTGATTGCATCTCTGCCTTCTTCTTCCCAGAACTGTCCTCATCTGGTCACTCTGCCTGTATTTCCTGCCTATTGGTCAATCACATTTTATTAAACCAATACAGGTGACATGTCTTTGCAGTGTGCATGAGCATCATCCCACAGCACTGTCTCACAGTTCGTCAATCAACCACCCAACCAGAAAGCAAGAAAGAAAATTCCAGAACTGAATAATGAGCAGCAGCTTCTATTCGAACCACATTCTTCCAAAAGTGTAGCTAGTGAGGAACATTTTCCTCATCTCTGACTATCGGAGTTGGGAAACTGCACTGCTTTCATGATTACTAGATACTTAAAATTAGAAACAAACTGTTTTAATTTCAGAATCCTTAGAGTCTAAATAAGCATTTTGAGAAAATGTACATGCTGGAAGTATTGATTAATACATGTTTCCATAGGTAGAAGAGCACATGTGTTTTCTACCTATGCCTTTAAATGAGTTATTCATGTTAAATACACTTTATGTGTTTTATTATCCTTCATGAGTACTAACATGACCAAATTATTATTATATTTGACATTTATATCTTCTAATATATAGAAGTAGTTCCCTTTTAAAGCTTACCCTTTGAATTTTTAATAGTCTAAAAATTCAGTTTTGCTTCAAGGCTTCCTCTACACTTATTGTCTAAACCGCTCTTGTCTGTCTCTTCAGAATGTTCTGGCATTTACCATGTTGTTTAGAGATATGTATCAATGGTTTTCTTTTGTCTTATGATTTCATTATTTCTGTCTACAGCTTAGTGGACAGGAAAGGATGGTTATAAGGCTTTTCAGATTGGAATCTGGCACACTAATGACGTTTTAAAGGTTGATAACACCCTTTTAGTCATAAAACTTTGTGATATCTTTTAATGATTATTTTTATTTTTTTTCAAATGTGAAGATAAGAGATATAAAAATAGCTACATTTGTTTTTGTTGATTGAGGCAGACGTGGGCCTACTTATGCCCAGCCTCTTCAGGAAGAGCTGTCCTGAACATTTATTATAAAATAAGCATGGCTATTACTTGAAAAACAAATGATATATAGTTGAACTATATGTTTTCTTCACTACAGGATTTAAGCTTGTTAAGAAATGATATTCATTTTGGGTAGTTTGCAATAATATTCCTGATTTTAAGATAGTCTTGAAAACTGTAATCTAAATTTTAATAGAGTCCAAGAGACCATTAATAGTTGTCTTCTATAGAAATCTTATGGGATCAACATATTAATCTCTCATTTTCTGGTAAGCCTATTAGTTAAAAATAGCATTGTTATTCTAATGATAGTAACAGCAGAGATTTTTCAATATTATGTCTTCAGGCATATTATACATAAAAAATCTTATTACCTGAAGTTTTTTACATTTAATCAATACAACAATAAAAATGGACAAATTAATTACAGGAAAATTCATGTATGACTTATAAGATTAACTATGAGTACAGAAATAAAATAGGAAACAGAAGTTATAGAAATATGATAAAATTATTTAAGTGTACCAAAGTCATTTAAATCATGTGTGTTGCTCAATTATTTTTAACATAGTAACAAAAATAAATAATATTGGACCAGTAACATGGTCCAGCAGGTAAAGTGCTTGTCACCAAGCTTGATGCCTGAGTTCAATTCTTGAGTCCAACACAGTGGACAGAGACTACAAGTTTTCTCCTGATTTCCATATGTGCACAGATGCAGGTGTGGCCCTCCCACTGTAATAAATAAATGAAAATATTTAAAAGCAATTGACCTTGCAAAGATGCATTTAAGCCTCTTACAAGGTGAATTTTCAGACGTCTACTAACTGTCATTGTCTGAAATTATCTAAACAGGCAGGAACAGTAGGTTTATCTTCCTATTTTTGCATCTTTCAATTGTCATTTGCATTGAAATGATATTTATTGTAATTGTTTCTTATTCCCATCCACTGTAGTTTTCAAAGGTTTACTCATTTATGTTTTTAACATTTTCTCACTTCTGAACAGAAACATTTAAAATCATCGTATCAGGGTGTTATTTTTCATCATTATCTTAGGTGGGCAGACAAGTAATAGCATGCTAAACTTAGTTTATAAACTTTGAAGAGATGTGCTCATATTTTGCATCTCTCAAACTTTGAGAATCCACTGAAGTAGTTTCTGCTCTCATGTTCTTAGAAACAATGAAGCATGTAATACACTAGTAAGTAACTTCTGAATTTAGCAGTACTGCCTAGCTCTACAGAAGTTAATAAAGGTTGTGGTTTCCAAGTGTGAGATGTAATAGTTAAAAAAAATTCATGACCATAATCAATGTATGCATAATATAGGTTTTATGAAAACATTGAAAAGCAGTTTTTTAGAACCCTCCTCTTAACAAGAGCTTGATTTGTACCTCAAAATATGATGGCAATTTGGATTTTGAAGGCGGCAATTGAATTTATTTAAATTTGTGTTAATTGTATAAAAGCATTTTAAAAGAAGAAATTTTTTCTGATTTTTGAAAATAAGAGAATGTAAATATACATTCTAGACTAAAATGGGATGGGTATGGTATGGTTCATGTAGTTGTGACATTTTCAGAAGGGGAAACAACAGTTTTCTTTTGTTTCATCTAAATATTATTATATCCTGTTTCCCAAAGGGTTTTCTAAGCAACTCTCAGCCTGTAACAAGTCAATATGAGGTAAGTATCTTATTTATCAAAAGTTATGATTTATTTTATTTGATACATGAAAAGAAAATATTTACCTTCATGTAAACACTTGCATCATTGTGAAAAATTTCACTTTTTCACCATTATAAAATGATGTGGGAGTCCCTTCTGTGTGCTGTGATTGCCATTAATGAATAAAGAAACTGCCTTGGCCTGGTGATAGGGCAGAACTTAGGTAGCGGGGAGAACTGGACTGAATGCTGGCAGAAAGAAGGGCAGAGTCGGAGGGACACCACGGAGCTGCTGGAGACAGACATGCCAAAACTTTAGCCGGTAAGCCACTACCACGTGGCAATATACAGATTAATAGAAATGGGTTAAATTCAGATGTAAGAGTTAACCAATAAGAAGTTAGAGCAAATCAGTCAAGCAGTGTTTTAGTTAATATAGTTTCTGTGTCATTATTTTGGATTAGAGCTAGCCGGGCGGCTGGGAATGAACAAGCGACTTCTTCCAACAATAAAAAGCAAGTGTTTCAAAAAAAAAAAAAAAAAAGTAACACAACCTTGCTGAAATGCAGATGAATCGGTAAGATTGATACCATTGAACTGAAGGTTCTGAATTTAAAGCCAATATCAGAATTTATCACTTTGATCCTTTGGAGAGACTGAATTTTAAAAGACTATCAAGACATGAGTATTGTGGTGATCAGAGCTTGCCTATTGTTTGCAGCTTAGGCATGGGTAGCTTGAAGCATTTCACTTGTAAACTAAATTGCAAAAACATTCTAGTGACTCCAATCTGGGGAACTCCATCTGGAGAGACAGGTTCAGTTTGGAGAGTGAAAGAAAATATTTATCTTTTGTTCCATAAATCAAGCAATGACCACTTTTGCAGATTAAATATGCGACATTATCAAGGTCATCAAGGTGTGAGGCTCACAACATGTTTAGGAATAGTTGTGAACTAAAACTTTCAGAGATAAAGACAACTGAACTTCTACCATTTGCACACACACACACACACACACACACAGAGAGAGAGAGAGAGAGATCAAGAATGAAAAGAAAAAACACAAATCAGCAATCTCTAACTGCAAACAATTTGAACTGAAAATTTTTAAATGATATGTCAAGATTGAATGGATAGACAATGACCAATTAAAGCATGCCTATTTCTTTGTAGTGTTCAGGAAGGAAATAAAACTAATGCTAAGGTTCAAACATAACAAAAATATTTGTAGTCAAGTGTATATAAAATGTATACTCACCTGACAGGAAAGCAACCACAATCATGTAGGTAGTTTCCCCAAGTGAGGCTTGTCAATTACAGTCCTGATGTTGTTTTCCCTAATGATTTCCCCTAATGAAAAAAAAATTGATTGTATAATTTATGGTAGCAGGGGACTGTGTTCACACTCTGCCCTACGAGACAGAGAAAGAGAGAGAGAGAGAGAGAGAGAGAGAGAGAGAGAGAGAGAGAGAGAGAGAAAAGGAGGAAGGAAGGAAGGAAGGAAGGAAGGAAGGAAGGAAGGAAGGAAGGAATATAAATTTTCTTAAAGCAGACACAGATAAAGAAAACACAGAAACCATCTTCTAAACATCACAGATGAAACAGAGGTACATAGAAAACTATGAGGTCAAGTGTAGACAAGAGGACCAGAAATAGTCAAAATGTGTCACAAAGGTGTATGAAGAAAAGTGAGAGAATTCAATTACCTGTTTTAGTAATCACGTGAGTGTAAATGGATTTTCCTTGCCTACTAAGAAACAAACACATTTAGAAAAATCACTGTGTGCTGCATATACAGCACACATGCAAGAGAGGATCGCATAAAGTTGCAGGAGTAAGGGAATAGAAAATATTCAAATCATTTAGTAAACAAAATGAATATTTGCTAATTAAATACATAGTTTGGAATTAGTGTAATCACGCGTGTCAATAGGATATAATTTTAATAATAAAGACAACAAACTGATGATAGTGGCTAGTGTTATTGTGAACATGTCATCCATAAATTCTTTATAGTTTAGATGATTTAGTTGTAAAATCAGCCATAAAGACTTTGAAAGGTATGATGTAATCACTGTGATGGTCCACTTGATACGAATATCCACCCATGGTTTTAGACTTTTAGCTTTAAAACACACAGGGTCTGTTAAAAATCAGACAGACAGCTTCAGCGAAAAGCAGTCCATAAATATAATCTGGAAATACACACAAGAAGTAATTTGAGGAGTTGATAAACCTAAGAAGAGGAACTCATTTCTCTCTTAATCAAAATAAAAAGTACTATTTTTATATTTAATATTTTTCCACTTTCATCAGTTTGGAAAAATATAAAGTGCAAAACCAAGATAGTTGGCAAAGATGCAAAAAAATTCCATAAAATGTAATGTAATTATTGGCACTGTGGAGGATACAATAAATTTATCTTATATGCTATGAAGCAATTACATTTCTAGGAACACATCTTAGAGAGGCTTGTACAAACAAGACAACAATGAAATATGCAAACAATTGCTCACAATATTAATGCTTTTATTAGGAAATTATTGAACATGCACAAATCCCACATGTATAATTCCAATATGGATAAAAACTTAAGTAGAGATGCAAGAAGCAAGATACTGTTTACAAAAGCACACAAATTAGTACTATACTTCATTCTGGGATCCAGATATCTTGAAAGTATAAATAAAAGGAAGTCATGGAGCAGACATTTAGGGAGTTGGTTACTTCTGGGGAATATAGAGGAGGAAAACCCAAGAGGTTTGTACAGAAAGCGTCAATTGCATTGGTAATCCTTTTTATTGTTATTGATTACTCTTAGTATTTATGTATGTGTGTACGTCAGTGTGTGTACTGTGTGTATAGTGTGCGTGCATGTGCATGTGTGTATGAGAATGTAAGTATGCATTCCCAGAGGCCAGAGGAGGTTATTAGGTATTGAGTTTAGACTGGTGGACAGGGAGCACCTGTGATTCCCCTTCCTCCTTTCCATGCCTCCAATCCCCAGCACCAGGAGCACAGGTGTCCAACTTTTATTTTTTTCTCATGTGGGTTCAGAAAATATAATCTCAGATCCTCATGTCTTAGAAATTACTCTTACTAAAACTATCTTCTCTTTGTTAATATTTTTGGAGATAAGGTCTTATGTAGTCCAAGCTAGACTTGTAGTCCAAGCTAGACTTAAACACTCTATGTACCCAAGGTTAGCTTAGCCTTAAACTCCCCATTCTCCTGCCTTTTCCTCTCAAGCCACATTCATTTACTTCCATTCCCCTCAGTAATACTTCATTTCAAAAATAGTGTGAAATAAACATATGAAAATGTTGATATATTAAAGCTGGATAATGTGTATACATATATTTACTAGATTATTAATCACAATACCTTTTTCATTTGAAACACTTTATAGTTCTTCTTTCATGGTACTTTGTAGATTACAAAGATATTTGCACCTTCCCAAGTGGATTGGTATTTTTTGTGATTAGAATAAAGCCTCAAACAAAATTAGAATTCAGATGTCTACTGAGTACAGAGATAACTGACTGAATATTAAATTTTCTCTCATTCAGATATATATATCAGGAAAAGGCCACAGTAGTAAAAGATAAAAGCATACTGCAATTTTAGAATATATATTTAAGACATTGCTCAGGGCTAGCATGCAAGAGGTCCTGAATTTAATACCCAGGACCTCAAACAATAATAACAAAAAGATGCTGTTCAGTTTTTGTCTTATAGGTGCTCTACAAATTTCCTTAGAACTTAATTTTCACATATTTCCAGGCAATTAAAACAGATTATTGAGACTGGATTTACATCACTGTTAAAAATTGTGTGTGGTATTGTCATGTCATGTCTGTGTTTGTGTGTATGTTCACATGTGTATGTGTGCAAGTCAAGAGCAGAAGTAACCATTGTAAATGATCATCAGTCATTTTATTTTATTATTCTAGGCACTGAATCTAAAATTCACCAGTTTTGGATGTACTTCCTCCATCATTCCAGTGCTGGGCTTTCAGACACATTCTCTACCTGGCTCTTTATGGTTCTGTTAGGGATCAAAACTCGAGTTCTCAAGCTTGTGCAGGATGTACTTTATTTACCAAGTTATCTCTCCAGCTCCATAAATGAAATTATTTCTAATAAGTAAAGGAGAGCCAGGAGTGGTTTAATCCCAGTGTTGAGGAGGCTGTTCAGGAGAATTCCTAGTTCCAGGTCAGATTTGTTCCATAAAATATATATTATATATATTTTACAAATATATATTTATGACATATAAATATGTATAATATAAATATGTACATAAATATAAATAATATATAAATATGTACAAAGATTTATATTTGCATGTGTATGTATGTATACATATACACACTTTTGTTTTCTTCCCTTATATACTATATAACTAGTCTAGAGACATCAGTTTTCTTTGGCAATGATGTAACTTGCTAATTGGGGTATTCTGATTAATAAGTGATCTGAATCTGAATTGAGAACTACACCCCATGGGAGGAACAGATATTACAGGAGCGTAGTGTTTTCTGTAGAGTAACTCAGGTGCTGAAGAGTCAGAGACAGTGTGGTTGTCCTGGCTTGGGCAGGATGGGTGCTATGACAACGGTGATGGTGCTGGCATTGTCTGCAATGATGAAGTCATCGTGAAATATGAGCTGACCGAGGAAAGACATTCATGGGATTTCTGTGCTCTGACCATGACTAACTTGGAAATAGATCTAAAGTGACCTGTAAAAGTTTATATTTAAATGATCTAAAGATGATCATTTAAGTTTGTAACTTTTCTCTTCCTACCACATCTCGAGAAAGCCTTGGAGGGAGGGAAAACTACAAGCAATTGAGGAATAAGATTGTAGTGACCCCCAGGGATGTGGAGGGGGTCTGGTTTCCGTGGGATAAAAAAGAGGCTCAGGAAAGGGGCTCCTGTATCTCACAGTTCACAGAAAGACTTGGGAAATCATTTTTAAGTCTGTTCTTTCCTTTCACAATTTAGTCCTGGGAAGTCAAATCCTTTAAATAAGTAACAAGACACAAAATAAATAAGCTTATACATTATATGTTCATACTTGTGTAATAAACTTACAAGTGATACTCAAAAATGACACGGGTCAAAAATGCTGTTAACATTTAAAATGGATATTATAGACACTTTCAGAATGATAATTTAATATATAATACAGAGTGGGTAACAGTAGTTATAAATATCTTTAACCAAGTGATAGAGTCATTTCATTGTCAAAGATAATTGAGCTACAGCAGAACTGCATTTTATTTTCTAAAGAGAGTTTTTTGAAATGTCAACTACTTTGGGAAAATTTTCTCCAGTTTTGAAAATTAATGTATATTATTTATAAAAAAATAATGGATTAACTCTGAATTTATTGTAATTCATATATATTGTACTGAATCACATTCACCTCTCACCCTCCTTTTTCTCTTCCCCCTTCATACATCCTTGGACAGGTCAATAAACTTCCTCATATTTTATCAAAGAACTTGATTTGACATGGTCTTCTTTTTAAGACTTCAGGCTGGGAGTGCTGTTCAGTAGTAGAACATATGCTGAAATGTTCCATGACCTATGGTCATGCCCCGGACTCTCAGCTGCCTCCCAAAGTTATCCTATTATAATTTGATCACTCTGGTGTCCATTGACTTTTAGAGATGTATACCCTACAACCCTTTTCCGAGGAGGTCTACTTAGTAGACATAGGTTATAAATTATATAAACCTACTCAATATTCATGGTTATAGTTAACTTTTTGACAAGTGTGATTTAGTACTAATGAAGGGTTTCTTCATTCTTTCAAAAATGCAATTTAATCCTTCTTTATTGAACTAAGTTGTTCTTTTTTAACAGCTAATAATTGCATGTTTGTTTTAACTAATGAATCTTAGTTTGATAATAAACCAAATTCTCTGACATATAATACTTTTTTGTCTACTTGCTATAGAATACTAATCAAAGTAATTTTGAAATTACTTAGATATTTAAGCAAATAAGCAACTCCTAATGTATGTAATTAAGAATGTATGAGTTCATGCACTATGCCATAACTTAAGGACATTCTATTTGCAAGAAGCTTATGAGATTGTGCTTTCGGGTAATGCTATGGTACAAGCTTTTCTCCTTTTACTCTGTAAGACCTGGGGAATCAAACTCAGGCTGTCAGCTTGGCAGCAAGTGCTTCACCTGCTGAGTAAGTCAACTCACCATCTCCTTAGCAATATGTGTGTGTGTGTGTGTGTGTGTGTGTGTGTGTAGATTAGATAGATAGATAGATAGATAGATAGATAGATAGATAGATCGATCGATAGATCGATAGAAAGACAGACAGACAGACAGACAGACAGACAGATAGATAGATAGATGATAGAGATAGAGCCTGCGCATGCAGGC